ATCTTGGCCTTTGATTGATAAATCAAAGGCCAATATCTTATTCTTATCTCCCGCCTACTTTTGTGCATGAGGAGATCTTGGCCTTTGATTGATAAATCAAAGGCCAAGATCTCATTAGGAGATATTAGGAACCCTCTCATTCCTTCCCACTATAGTGTACTCGGAGAATAGCGGGTAGGTGCTGCCGAAATTTTGACGAAATAAACGTACACTTGAACACACGTAAATACATATACACGCTACGTTTACATACCTAATGGGATAGAAGCCTTCCTCTGACAGCCGATCACACACACTTGTCCTATAACTTAAAATGATATATGTAGGGATATGCTCACTTCCATTAATTTTTAAATTCTAGATGCGGACAGTTCCTGACAAATCGTTCATGAGCATACCACGTGATCAAAGACATCTAGACACCCGGTACAAGGATGGGATAGAAGCTTTCTTAGCCTACTCTGACACAAATCCTCTACGGTCGCTAAGCGGGTCAATTTCTGTCCTTGTAAGAATTGTAGGAACGGTAAAATGCTCGCTAGGAGTGACGTAAGTTTTCATCTGTCAATCAATGGATTTGATAGCTCTTATGTATTTTGGAGTCATCACGGTGAAGGCGTCCCGGTGATGCAATCAGAGGAAGAATTCACTGAAGTCAGCAATCCGACAGTTGACACGACTGATATGTTAGAAGATATTCTTGCAGCGCCGTCGGTGAGTGATGTCAACACTAATGATATGTTTCAAGATGTAGATCGATTGATGAGACTTGTTGAAGAAAACGAGTCACCGTTATACGAGGGGTGTAAGGAGTTCACAAGGCTTTCTTTTATGCTGAGGCTTCTTCATATCCAAACACTCAGTGGGATGGCTGTTACACATTTTGAGATGTTATTAGATTTGCTGAGGAAAGTTATTCCAGGCGGCGAGAAAAGCATCCCCGCGACCTATTACGAAGCTCACAAGATTGTTGATACGCTGGGGCTTGATTACAAGAAGATAGACGCCTGTCCTAACGACTGCATCTTGTACAATAAGGGTAATGAAGCTCTGGAGGAATGTCCGACGTGTCATGTATCACATTGGAAAGGAGAAGCTGCAAGCACATCCGAAGGCAGTGCATCCAATAAGCAGAACAGAATCCCTGCTAAGGTTATCCGATATTTTCCAATTATTCCTAGGCTGCAGCGGTTTTATATGTCTGCCGAGCTGGCTGAGAATATACGATGGTACTCGACCGACCGTAAAGAGGACGGGAAACTAAGACATCCTGCGGACGGTGAGGCATAGAAGCACATTGACCGTATATACCCCGACTTCGGTAAAGAGTCTCGGAATATTAGGCTGGGGCTTGCTAGCGACGGATTTAATCCGTTTGGATTAATGAGCTCTGCTTGGTCTACCTGGCCAGTGTTGCTGACACCGTACAACATGCCGTCGTCGATGTGCATGAAGCAACCATACATGATACTGTCACTTTTGATCCCTGGAAGATATTCTCCTGGAAATGACATCGATGTTTTCCTCCAACCATTAATTGACGACCTGAAGCTTCTCTGTTGCCATGTGCTGTTTTATTAATTATTTGCATTATATACTTTTGTTAGATATTCATTATGTTTTCAAAGTATAGATGACGAAAGGATTACGTAAGAAAGCGCTTGAGAGAATTTTTGGTAGACATTCTGGAGGCGACGCACATGCCTCTACGTCAGGTATTTTTATTTATTTGTTATATTTGTACATTTCTATAAACTATTAACATGAGCCTAATATTTTTTTAACATTTACTACACAGGAGGAGGAGATGCTACACATGACTCGCAGCCACAGGACACATCACGCGGAGATGCTCCACATGACGTGGAGACACAGGCTGATCCTACACAGCATGCGGAGATACCCCCGCCACCGCATGCAGATGTATTGGAGGAGAGGAGATTTGAGTCGTATAGCGTAGCTTTAGAAGCTGCGGCACTACCGCCAGATTCTATTACGGATCAGCGAGTCCACGGTCCGGCCAAGATGAGGGATGATTGAGATTCTTATCATGCTATGCGAGACATCGCGCAGCAAAGGTACGAACAAGCAAAGCGTAGGTGCCTCGAACTGAAAGGTATGAATAAATTTTTATAGTTTATCGGTTATTATTTTAAATTTTTTTCGCAAATATAGATTGATTCTTTGTTTCGCAGGTACGCGACCTCCTAGACGCGGCTGCAATGCTACTAAGGAATCGAACCTCATCCCTGATATTAATCGGAGGGCTGTGATCCGATGGGAAAACGGAGTGCCTGTTGGGGCCTTTGCCAATGCTTTCAACAATTTCCTTGCCGTTTTAGCCAGGAGACACGATTTCTTCAACATATTTTGACGTGGAAATCGCAGCGGATTGATGCGCTGGTGGCTTGTTGGAGATATATATGTGTGAGTCATTTATTTTAATTTTCATCATTATTAGTTATTAGTTTATTATTATGTTTAATACACTGATTTGTATCTACTTTTTCTTTATATGTTGAAGCGATTTTTCTTTCTTGACGATAATATTTGTGCCTGGACGTACTGCTTCAGGCAAATCAATGTATCGTTCAAGAGATGGCGGTTTGAGGTAAAGAAAAAATATTTTGTCCAAATAACAGAAGATTGGGAGCGATACTGGCATCTTGACGTCTGTGTGGATGGAGTAGATTTTTTTGCACTTTGCAGTTACTGGGACACGGCTGAAATTCAGGTATTATTGAAGTATATATTTTTAATTTATTGTTTGAATTTCTATATTGTTTCGAATTGACATTGTTTTGCAGGCTCAAGCTAAAATAGCAAGGAGGAATCGCAACGCGCCTCGCAATTACGAGCATCACTGGGGCTCCAGGACATTCAGCCAGCATTATCATCAATTAGAGCTTGAGGTATATAATATATTAGCTTTTACGTTGAGTATAATTTATGTGTTATGGGTTAATGATATATTTGAATAAAATAGGGAAGGGGAGATCTCAGACATTTTGCAGATCGTATTCTGACTTCCTAGAGCCCGAATTACGCCAATGAAGAGAAGAAAACAAAGAATAATGATCTGGCTGTAAGTAGCAGTTCATTTATATATTCAATTTCATATCAATGCATCATTATTAAGTCGACTTGCCCGGGTTGTTTTGATATATCGCAGGAGAAATTACATGCCAAGGTACAGGAGCAATTAACTCAGTCTCAGGTCTGTTCTAACACTCCTGTCCGGCTAAGTAGAGAGGATGAGGACTCCATCATCGAGACGGTCATTGGACCTAGTAGGAAGAACAGATATCGGTGGAGAGGATCCGAGCAGAGGCCGCACAAGTCTAGTAGCACCTACGAGTCTGCAGCACCACAAGAAACACCAGGAAGCAGTTCATATCAAGACTCGATGGAGCAGCGATTAAAAGCGATTGAAGATTGGCAGTCTCAGCAAACAACATATCAGCGGGCTCTAGAGGAAGAACGGAGGCGTCGGGAGCAGACCGTATTGGAGTTCACACAATTCATGTCGACTCTGCCTCAGGAGGCTCAGGAGGCATATAGGAGACGGTTTCTGTCGTCACAGGTAATATATATACTTAGCTTTTTTTTTAATTAGATGATATCGTACATACTGATACACACTAATACAAACTGTTACACACAAACCCTAACTCTAACCCTAACACAAACCTCAAAATATATACTTATAATGTTTTTATGTGATGGTGGTGTTGATGGTGTATGCGTGCGTAGTGTTGGTGTAGTGGTGTTGTGTTGTGGTGTTGTGATGGTGTAGTGTTGTGATGGTGTAGTGTTGTTGTGTTGTGGTGTTGTGGTGTTGTGTTGTTGTGTTGTTGTGTTGTGGTGTTGTGTTGTGGTGTTGTGGTGTTGTGATGTTGTGGTGTTGTGTTGTTGTGTTGTGGTGTTGTGTTGTTGTGTTGTTGTGTTGTTGTGTTGTGATGTTGTGGTGTTGTGTTGTGGTGTTGTGATGTTGTGGTGTTGTGTTGTAGTATATTTATATTTGTACTCTTATTAACGTTTACACACACTTGTTAACATTTGATTTATATTTACAGGCCGGGGCTTCTTCACAAGGTGCAGCCGGGGGTAGTCATAATGTGGCTGGTGTTGAGGATGAGGACGATGATGATCAGGAGGATTGATTGTCCTTAATATAACTTTGAAAACAATTTCTTGTGTTGTATAAACAATATTTATTATGTACCTGTCGAGAAACTTTTACTTGCTTTTATTGAATTAAATGTGTGATATATGCGTGAGATGTGATATTTGCGTAAGATTGAAGCTTTCTTCTGCTGATTGAACAGGTTTTTAAAAATTATTATCGATATTGTACAGGGATTTTCAATTTTCAAAATATTTTTTTAATTTCTTATTTTTAAATTTTTAGCGACGGAATTTCCGTCGACGGAATTTCCGTTGCCAAAAACATTTTTAGCAACGGAAATTCCGTCGCTACAGTATTATTTAGCGACGGAAAACGTGCACGAAATCAGATCCTGCACAATTTGCTAAAACAATAGCGACGGATTTTCCGTCACTAATATTTTTTTAGCGACGAAAAATCCGTCGCTAAAGAAATATTAGCGACGGAAAATCCGTCGCTATTGTTTTTTTAATTTTTAATTTTTTAAAAATAGCAACTAATTTTTCGTCGCTAATAAACCGTCGCTAAAATTTAGCGACGGAATTTCCGTCGCCAAAAGTCTTTTTAGGCACCCTTGTTATGGCGTCGAAATTTTAGCGACGGAATTTAATATTTTCCGTCGCTAAAACTTTTAGCGACGGAAAAACGACTTTTAGCGACGGATTTGTCCGTCGCTAAAAGTTGAAAATCCAGCAGTGATGCAATTATCTATTAATATATTATTGTATATTACTAATAATTAATATGATGTAGAGTTTTACAATAACGTTGGAAGTTTTAGTGACCAAATTATACAAACTCAAAGTGACATATAATATAATTAATTGACAATAATAATTAATTTAGTTTAATTAGTATTAGAATGTAATATCAAAAAAGAATAAGGGTAATATAGTCATTGAAAAGTTTTTCCACGGCCCACTTTTTTAAAGGAGTATAATATATTTAGAACTGTGAGTACGTAATCTAGCTCGCTTAGCTTTTTTCCTCAACGAATTAAATAAAAAATATCATAGAGGAGAGGATAAAGCCTAACTTGGATTGCTACATGATTTTGTTATAGTTATTTTATTAGACATTTTTATTCTTTTCGGATTTGAAATGTTAATCAAGCCTAATTATTTGCACACCAAACTTTTTTGAGACAGGATGTTTGGTCCTGCATCCAATTTGAGCTAAATATCTAAATCAGATCACAATTATTGGTCAAACGTGGATCACTGCGCGTCAATTTTGCGTGAGATTGAGAGGTATACCATACACCCATTTCTTTTGTGTGTATATAAAACTTAAAAAGGTGATCTTTTTAAAACCCCAAAAAAAAACAAAACTTCATTAAATTACTTTTAGCCTACTTACGTATCTACGTCTAAAGATAAATACGAAACAAATCCAGTGCTTAATTATGATGATGCAGGAGGATCTACTAGTATTCATCGTGTGAATTTAAATATTAATAAGTTGAATTGAGTGTGGGTAGAAGCATATATTATTCTTACTTTTATTTTCTTCTCTTATAAATATTTTCTTTGTGAGAATTAACGCAATCATAATCAAACAATGTACTAGCACTACTAAATAATGAGGCATCTTAGACGGAAAATTCCGTCTAGGAAAATTAGAATTCCGTCGAGGATGAGTATCCTAGACGGAATTCCGTCTAGAATACGCGTCTAGAAAGTTTCCGTCTAGGATGTAGTATTCTAGACGGAAATAACGTCTAGAATACATCCTAGACGGAATTCAAAACCGTCATCCTAGACGGAATTTCCGTCTAGGATACCCATCCTAGACGGATATTCGAAACATCCTAGACGGAAATGATGATCCGTCTACGATTTGTAATATTCTACTAGTATAGTTTCTCTTATTCGTTTTCTATTTTGAAAAAAAAAAACCTTTAGAAGACAACCTAATAACATATGATTAATGCGTGAGAAATATAACCCAACAAAAAAACGAAGGAAAGACAAGGTGGAGGAGTCCTTTTTGTAATTTGGAATATCATAAGCGTGTACCTTTTTGCTCGCTAGTGATGTAGGTAACAACTTTAATGGATATTATGATGGATCGTGTCTTTATACTTGATTTGGATAAGAAAGGTGGTCAAGTCGGCATTTCCGCAGTGCAATTGCCGACCTTTTTTGTCCTTTCAAATCAATTGTATAATATGCGTAAAATCCTTGGAGTGGCATAGGTTAACCCTCTCAGTTGACATAGTTAATTTCCTCATTTTTTTTTAGGTAATGAAAATAATAGTTCAAAGAAGACGTGGAGCTGAAAATAGTTTAAAAGGTCGCGGTAACGAATTTAACATTTTGAGGGGCCGGGGTTAATATATCATTAAAAATAGTTCAGGAGGTAAGCATAAAAAAATAGTCTAGAAGGTAACCAGAGCACAAAGTCTGCGTGTAATAAATATAACATTCAAATGGTAATTAATCAAAGAAGTCAACTAAAAGGACTAATCTTAAGTAAGTAACAGGATTTGAGGGGCCTTTTGGTTTTAAAAGAGATGTCGGAGTTTTGAGCGTGTATTTTAAAGTTGAGTGCTCTAATTCAGTCCCACACTCCCACGCAAGAAAATGATAAAGAGTTTTGCGTGTATTTTAAAGTCAGAGTGCTCTAAATTTTTGGAGGAAAAAATGGATTCTTCAAAATGGGGAAGCTGTTGGAGTTGGTGTAAAAATTAGTTGGAGAATATGACTTTTGCTTCCCCATTTTGGAGAAATTTTTGAAGAAACTGTTGGAGATGCTCTTAATCCCCCACCCCACCCCAAGCTGAGCTTTGCATAACCGCACGGGTGCAACTTTGGAAGCTTAATTTTTACCAGCCGTAGGAGTAAAATCCTGCCTAATTTGATAACAAGATACGCATGCTTTTTGAGAAGCAACGTCAGAAAAATCCAAATATAATACAATTATAAAAATAATGTTCATAGTGTACTTCGCTAATAATTGACCATAGCAAGTTACCGAGCAAAGACCAAACGTGACATCATCATCAAATTGGCAGGCCAAGTTAGATTCAATCACATCTTGCAGCGAGACCGAAAGCATCTGAACACAGACCCAAACCTGACCAAATCCAATTAAAATTCTATCCGTTGTGACATAGCACATGACACAACACAAATAAATGAACTATACCAACAAAAAAAATATCAACCGGTATATATGATATACACACATTCACGTGAACGCCACGTGTCGGTCACACGTGGCATCAAAACCCCACGCGTATGATGGTTATCCCGAACTTTGATCACTCTCTCTTGGTTGACTCCGGCCGGTCGCAGTCCCGGTCTCTCCCGTTACTCATCGAGCATGGGCGCGTGTCCTCCACCGGCATTTAAGTCGGCGCGTAATGGCGATGGACACGTGGCAGTTTCATATACACTTGTTATGTACGTATTTGATTACAGTTGATGGCTGACGTGTATGTGGTGGCTTTTAAGGTTTCTTTTTTTTTTTTAATTTACGGAACCATCTAATTGCTAATCTTGCTTGTAAATCAAAGAAGGGATACCCAAAGCAAGTAGGTGCGATTGCAATTTGCGACTGTGTGTGCAATTTGTGAAAATTTATTATTGAATGAAAACAATCATCAAGTACTTGCACTAGTAAGAGCAAAATGTAGCTAACACTCCCATCACATGTGTTTGTTTCGTTATAACTAATAAGTTTAATTGCGAATAGATTTCATGTAGTTTCACTTGTTGCGAATAGATCTCTTGTAAGAGTTTAATGTGGCTAACACTCGTCACATATGTTTGTTCCGTTATAACTAATACGTTTAATTGCGAATAGATCTCCTGTACGTAGTTCCACTTGTTGCGAATA